ACTGGGGGACACTGGGAGTTGGATGGGAGGGACTGGGAGGCCCTGGGAAGGGTCAGGGAGGGACTGGGAGGCACTGGGAAGGGCCTGGAAGGCACTGAGAGGTACTGGGAGGGGGCTGGGAGGCACTGGGAGGGGACTGGGAGGGGACTGGGTGCACTGGGAGGCACTAGGAGAGGACTAGAAGGCACTGGGGGACATTGGGAGGGGGGTGGGAGAGTCTGGGAGGCACTGGGAAGGGACTGGGAGGCACTGGGAACCCCCCCCCCCCCCCAGGGGACCTTCACGCCGGCCAGTGACGCCTGGGCCTTCGGGGTGACGCTGTGGGAGGTGCTGACGCGGTGCCGGGAGCAGCCCTACGGCCGCCTCAGCGACGAGCAGGTCATCGCCAACGCCGGGCACCACTTCCGCGCCCAGGGCCGCCAGGTGGGCACTGGGAGGCACTGGGAGGGGACTAGGAGGGGACTGGAAGGCCCGGGAGGGGGCTAGGGGGCACTGGGAGGGGACTGGGGGGCACTGGGAGGCACTAGGAGAGGACTAGAAGGCACTGGGGGACATTGGGAGGGGGGTGGGAGAGTCTGGGAGGCACTGGGAAGGGACTGGGAGGCACTGGGAAGGGGATGGGAGACACTAGGAGGCACTGAGAGGGGGCTGGGAGGCACTGGGGGACACTGGGAGTGGGATGGGAGAGTCTGAGAGGCACTGGGAGGCACTGGGAGGGGACTGGGAGGTACTGGAAGGGGAGTGGGGGGCACTGGGAGGGGACTGGGGACACTGGGAGGCACTGGGAGGGGACTGGGAGAGGGTTGGGGAACACTGGGAGGGGTTGGGTCATGGGCCCAGTTACTCCCATCACTCCCAGTTATCCCCCCGTTACTCCCAGCTACCCCAGTTACTCCCAGTCACCCCCAGCACTTCCAGTTACTCCCAGTACTCCCAGTTACTCCCAGTACTCCCAACTATCCCAGTTACTCCCAGTTGCCCCCAGTACTCCCAGTTACTCCCATTACTCCCCACTACCCCAGTTACTCCCAGTTGCCCCCCAGTACTCCCCACTACCCCAGTTACTCCCAGTTGCCCCCAGTACTCCCAACTATCCCAGTTACTCCCAGTTACTCCCAGTTACTCCCATTACTCCCATTACTCCCAGTTACTCCCAGTTACTCCCCACTACCCCAGTTACTCCCATTACTCCCAGTTACTCCCATTACTCCCCACTACCCCAGTTACTCCCATTACTCCCAGTTACTCCCATTACTCCCCACTACCCCAGTTACTCCCAGTTACCCCCAGTGCTCCCAGTTGCCCCCCGACCCCCGGTGACCCCTGTGACCCCCGGTGACCCCTGTGACCCCCCGTGACCCCAGGAGTACCTGCCCTGCCCCCCGGGCTGCCCGGCGGCCCTGCACGGGGTGATGCTGCGCTGCTGGGCCCGCGACGCCGCCGACCGCCCGTCCTTCGGCCTCCTGCACCGCCTGCTGCGCGACCACACCGTCCTGGCCTGACCTTCCTCCTCCTCACCATCCTCCTCCTCCTCCGTCATCCTCATCATCATCCTCTTCCTTCTCCTCCATCATCCTCACCATCCTCCTCCTCGTCCGTCATTCTCATCATCCTCCTCCTCACCACAGCACCCGTCATCATCCTCCTCACCATCCTCATCCTCCCTTCCTCCTCTTCACTACAGCAGCTCTCATCATCCTCCTCTTCCTCCTCCATCATCCTCACCATCTTCCTCCTCACCAGAGCACACCTCGTCATCCTCTTTCTCCTCCATCGTCCTCACCATCTTCCTCCATCATCCTTACATTCCTCCTCCTCCTCCATCTCCTCCATTGTCTTCAGCATCATCCTCACCATCCTCATCCTCACCATCAGCATCCTTCCTCCCTCTTTCAGCCTCCCTCTTCATCCTCCTCCTCCTCAATAGCATCATCCTTCATCCCACCTCATCCCCCTCCTTCATTGTCCTTCATCTCTCCTTCATCTTCCTTCTCCTGCTTTATCGTCCTCCTCATCATCATCCTTCATCCCTCCTCCTCCTCCTCTGCCACCCACCTCCTCCTTCATCCTCCCTCTCATGCTTCATCCTCCTTATTACCCTCCTCCTCATCCCTCCTTCAGCCTTCATCTTCCTGCTCCTTCTCTTTCACTTCCTTCTCCTTCATCTTCCTCATCATTGTCCTCATTCTCCTCCTTCATCTTCCCCCTCCTCCTTCTCCTCCTCCTCCTTCTCCTCCTTTTCTTTCTCTTCCTCCTTCTGCTCCTTCTCTTCTTCTTCCTCCTCCATCATTTCCCTCTCTTCCTTCATCTTCCTCCTCCTCCTTCATCTTCCTCTTCACCCAACACTGGAAGCACCCAACACTACTGACACAGGACCCCCCTCACCCCTGGGACCACCCCAACCCCCTGGGACCACCCTGGATGCCCAGGTTCCCCCCTGGACCCATCTCCACTCGACACCCTCATTAGTGGGGGGCTAATTAGCGCCGGTGGCAGCGGGGGAGGGGTGGGGGCTGCGGCGGGGGAGGGGCTGTAAATATTTGGTGCCGAAACGGAGATTTTTACACTAATATATAGATGTTTTTGGGGTCGTTTGTGTCTGTTTCCTCTGTGTGAGGGTGACCCAGACACCTGGGTCCTTTCTAGGGCGCCCCAAAGGTCTGGGTCTCCCCTGGGGGTGCCCAG